ACTCTGCTCTTCAGCAATTAGCACCAGGGCTGTGGTTAAGCTGCTAAAAGTGTTTTTTCCGCGCATGACCAAGGATGGAAAAAGTTGTGGTTAATAAATGACAAATAACCTTTTGTCTCATCGCGCTCCCACCCTGCGATACCCAAAATGAAAATATGGGGGGGGGGGGGAAGGGGGGGAATATAGAGAAAGTCACCACCAAAATCTCACCAAGCAGCTGAAAGGATGCCCCAGCCCTTTGCCTTCGAAGAACAGTGAGCAGCACGGCACCAAAAGCAAAGCTGGGGATGTGCTGCTCGCCCCGCTCCGCAGTGAAAGTCTGCGGTGGGTTTCGGTGCGGCTCCAGGCACCTTTGGGTGATGCTTTGCCTTTCCCAAGGGAATCGCAGTACAACCAAAACCCCCCAGCTCTTCCCCCATAGCAGGTTTCCTGGTTTCAGCCTGGGGATGCCAGGAGAAGGATGAGGTCCCTTGGGGATGCAACCCAAGGGGATGCCAGGAGAGGGATGCAGCTCTCTGGCCACCCACTGTCCAGCCGCCAAGGGATGATGCAACAGGGTTGCTCTTGGATAGAGGAACAAGGCAGCAAATCCCAGCCTGGGATCAACATTTTCATGACAACAAAGAGAGAAAATAAGATGCCGTGCAGCCGGCTTGCCCCTGGGCAAACCATGGGGACAAGGGTAGGAGCACACGTGGTCCAGTCTGCTCCAGCTCACAGGATGGAGGACACCAAATGGGATCCAGATCGACACAAACATGCTCTTCCCTGGGCCACGCAATGACGGGACGCTGAGATGCTTCCCATCAGTACAAAGCCTTTCTCATGAGGTACCCGTTGCCTGCAGGCAGTGGGTACCCTGCTCATGGTGGCCTTGGGAAGAAAAGACCATTTTGCATTGGTTGTTTTTGTGGGAATAGAGGAATGAAGGAGCTGACAGTGCTGCAGCAGCAACCAGGGCATTTGTGCATCAAACTGGGCACATCCAGTTCGTAAGCACAATTGTAGGTCACTAGTAAGAGGAAACATGTTTTGGATTGGAAGCAAATTGTTGTGCTGCAAAAGACAGGGATAGCTCAAATCCCTGCCTGGGATAGGGATGCAAACACAGCTGCTGCTGGGGTCCAGGCTTCCCATAACGTGGCCTCTCCATCCCTGAGGGCATCTCCCCCCTCCACCATTGCCTCTCCACACATCCTCACTGAATGAACTCCAATTGCTCCGGGAGGTCCAAGGCAGCTCGAGGAGGAGCTGGAATGGGGATGGGGAGCTCAGCACCAGGATGACCCTCACCCTACGCCTGGTCCCAGGCACTGCGAATGGGAGCCGAGCGGTGCAGGACCTGCTTGCTCAGGAGGCGGCAGTTCTCAGAAACCAGCTTCAGGTGAAAGGAAGAGGAAAAAGAGAGAAGAGAAAAGAAGAGAAGAAAAAAAGGAAGTCAAAGCAGCCTCACGCTGAGCAGAGATAAAAATACTGCTCCTGCGGCCGCGGCTGCAGACGAGCCATGACACAGGCTCCGCGGGTTCTCTCCGGAAGGAGTCTTCCCGGCCTGTCTCGGTGTGCCATCGATTTACGGGATGCGCTGGATTTCATTAAAACGCTATAAAGCAAGCAGTGCAAATGCAAATCCCATTTCCCTTCCCCTTTCCTGTGAAAACATCTGGGCAACAGAAACGGCTCGGGAGGCTTCCGCTGCAAATCACGGTTTTCACGGAGCTCAGGGCTCGGCCGTGTAAAAGGCACTTGGGGCTCAGCTGATGAAAGGGCAGCCCCGAACCCCTGCAGGTTGCCTTAAACTTGTGAAGCTGAAGAGGCCTCAGAGCTACCCAAACCTACAAGAGATACAGGAATAAATATCATGGTAGAGGAGAAAGTCCTTAGTGCCCCCATGGAAAGCAAGTGAGCATTGCCCTCCTACAGACATCAGAGAATCCACCTGGGCTGCACACATAGGCCCATGCCCAGGGTTTCACTGGTTTTCCTGTGCACATCTCTATATACCCCCATATGTACAAGCACTACAGATACCCCGGTGCCCTGAGCCCAGTGGTGCCCTGCAGCCAGGCTGAGATGGGCTCCCAGGAGAGCTCCGCATCCAGGCATCTCCAAACCCCTCCTTTGCAACATCATTTTTCCAGCGCTCGAGGGAGGAAGGAACGATGCCAAAACCAACCCAGCAGCGGCTGCAAGCACGGGAATGTGAGCTGCTCCCTCTGCCCAAAACCCCATCCCATCCAGCTGAAGCTCCAGTGACATGACAGGGAATGGGATGCCCGCACGGGTGGCACCGGCTCTGCTCACTGACACTCACCCCTTCACCCAGCACAGCATTGGCCACCCAAGCAGTAAATGGGATTAGGGCCCTTCAAAGCACCCTGCTCCCTTTGATGCCAGGCATGTTATGGGATTAGGCTCAGAGGCCCCATTGAAGTGCACCAGGGAGAAAGTAGAGGGAGGGAATAAGATAAAAGCTGCCAAAATGAGGGAGCAGAGGCCAAGCCATGGCCACTTCCCGCAGGCACCCTGCCCTTCCCAGGTCATTGCAAGGTGCTAAGTATTTGGAGGCCTGGCTTGATTCTCTAAAGCCATGAGCTTGAGCCGAATCTCCATTTACATTGTACTATTTAAAGGGTCTGGAGGTCTGTGGATGGGCAGTGGAAGGTGTCCCTGCCCATGGCAGGGGGGTGGAACTGGACAAGCTTTAAGGTCCCTTCCATCCCAAACCAGTCTGATCCTACGACCAACAGCATCATCAGATCAGGAGCAGATCCACAACACGGGCAGTGGCAAAGCCCTGTGAGCATCGTGGGGCAGAGCATGGAGGGGAGGGGGCTCCCTGCATCCTTCCCTGGTATTTATTTGCAAGGAAAAAGAAAGCAAAAGTAAATCACCACCGAGCTGCTCTGCTCCCGCTCCTCTCTTTGCCTCTTGATAGGTTTGGGAAGCGGGGACCCACCAGCACCGTGGGGGCTTTCCAGCACCCCCAGAGTTCAACTACACTTGGTGGAAAAGGGGCTGGATTGAGTGTGCTGTAAAGGAGAGAGGATCTGGCCCTGGCCCAGTTAATTCAAGAGGAAGGACCCACCCTGAGAGTATTTGCACAGGAAGCAATTTACTGCGGAGACTCGTGAAATCCAGGGAGGAACATCCCCCCTTCCGCAGACCTGGCTGAGAAACAGGGTCCCCGGCCTCACGGGGATGGGATCTCACCAGGAAATCTCTGCAGGATGGAGACTTGGAGTGCACTGCAAGGAATAACGCTGCAGAGCACTGGGTGAACTTGCAAATGGCTTGTTTTAAATGCCTCCTGCCCGTGGGTCAAAGGAGCTGGGAGGAAGAATGTGCTGTGTGCTGAGCTTGCTTCCCAAGCGAAGTGGATGGGGGGAAATAGAGAAAAAAGAGGGGGGAAAGGGGAAAAAGAAAGGCAAAAAGCAGTGTTTGTAAGCACCAGGTTCTGTGGGCAGGCAGCACACAGTGGGATGCTTGTCCTCTGGGTGGTGGGGGGCATAAGTGGGTGCCCAGGAAGGCCCTGCCTGCTGAGGACCCTGTGAAGGGGAGCATCCCCTTGCTTGGCTTTAGTTTTGGCTCTTGCAAAGCCCCAAGGGCAGGTCTGGCAAAGCCACTGAGGATGTGGAGGAGCAAAGCTGGCAGCAGTGCATGAAATAACATCAGGTACCTCCTCCCCACTGGCCAGGCTGGTCCCTGCGGCATGGTCCGACATGCCCAGTGCCATCCTGGTGAGCCGGGGTATGGACCACGCCAGCATCCAGTGGTGCTGCCCAGGAGCATCCTCAAAGCACCCCAAAGTGATGCTGTTCAGAGCCAGACCTCCCCATGGCCGGGGATGGGGACACACACTCCTATGGGAACAAACAACTGCAACCTAACAACATGGTGGGGCAAAACCAGCTCTTACTTTCAGACTGTGCAATTTTGGTGTTTTTTCCTCATTTTTTTCTTTCTAATATTTAATATTGGAGCCATTTGACAGAAACAGCAGGAATTCAACCAGCTGTTCCCTGGCCCCACTGCCACAGAGAGCAGCAAACACAGCCCAGAGGCAGGGACAAGGCTCCAGCTCCAGCTGAGGTTTCCTCCTTCCGAAACACAAGTTTAGTCATCAGAGTTAAACAAGCACAGAAAAAAAAGGGGAGAAGAGGGAAAACGCAGCCCATGCTGCCTGCGTGGGACCTGCCATGGGGAGGAACTGCCTTTTGAAAGGTTAAACCCCCCCAGCTCCCCCTGCATCGCTCCCTGTTCGCTCACATCCTGCATCATCTCCGCTCCAGCCAGCCTCTAAGCACCACGGGAGCTCCCTGCCGTAGCCAAGAGCTGAATTTTGAGCTACAGAAGTACTTACGAACCTAAAATTAACTTCCCTTACAGGTCCCATGGGGAGCAGAGGAAGACTTTTCCCCTTCCTTTCCCAGCTTGCCCAGGCGAGCCAATGCCCTGGCTGCTGAAGCCACAGCAAACCAGAGGCAGGGTGAATTTGGGGTGTGCCAAACCCTTGTTGGGATGGCTCTGTGGGACTGGGGATGAGCGGGATGGAGGCCACCAGGCTCTATCCTCATCTCACAAGGCAGGTGCTGGAAAACCCAGGTTTGGGGTCCTAGCAGGGAGAAACACAATTACACCTTGACTGACTGTGATAATCAGTGCACAAATTGCCCTCAACACATGGTCACAGCAACGTCCATCCCCCAAACACAGGTTCTCCTTCTCAGAGGTCTTAAATAAACTGAGTCCAGCCTTGTGAGGCTGCAAATGAGGGAGAGCAGCAGCAGAGCAAACCCATCTGGGTGCTGAGCTCGTGCCCAGATGCTGCTCATGGTGACAAACCCTTGTGGTCAGGGATGCAGCACGGTCCTGCCCCTCTCACTGGACATGCTGGTACCCTGGCATCATCTCCAACCAGCAGCATCATCCCCAGCCCTCAGCATCATCCCCAGCCCTCAGCATCACCCAGCTGACAGGGGCAGGAACCAGCAGGTCCTTACCTTGGGTGGGTCGAAGAGCTCCAGCACGTACTCCTCGCCATCAGACGTCCCCGCTCGCCGCAGCACCAGGCGGCAGCGCTGCCAGCGCGTCCCACTGTCCAAGGAGCTCTCATCCAGCAGCCCGTACTTGAGGACCCCCTCCTTGCGCACCTCGGGGGGCTGCTCCCGCGACAGCCCCCACGGCAGGATGCGCTTCCCCAGTCCCGGCTTCAGCGCTGCCTCCGCCGCGTCCCCATCCCCATCCGCAGGGAGAGCATCCGAGGACCGGCGTCGGAAGAGGCTGCGCCAGCTCCTGCGCAGCTGGCTGAGCGAGAAAGGCCTCCGTGCCGGCCCCAGCAGCTCCTCCGAGCTCCAGGACTTGCGGAGCCCTGATGGGGTGGCTTCGGGAGCTCGGCCGGGGGGCTCAGAGCCTGGATCCGCCTCGGCTTTGGTGGCCACCGGGCCCAAGGAGGCATCCGTGTGGCGCCGGTGCGTCTCCCGGTAATCCCGCGCGGGGCCGGCGGGCAGGATGCGGAGCTGGTTCATGGCGAATCCCTCCTTCACCTCATGGCAGAAGTACTGCTGGAAGAGGTCGGTGAACTGCACCGAGAAGTTCTCTGCGGCCAGGAGGTCATGGTGCGGGTGCTCGGTGGCGAAGCGCAGGTAGTGCCGCGCCAGCTCCTTGGCCGTGCTGATGGCGTGCAGCTCGCAGAACTCATGCCAGCCCCGGGGATGCGCTGGCGTGCCGGCCGGCAGAGCGTGCCCATTCATTGCCGTGGCTCCAGCGAGGCGGATGCGCTGCAAGACAAGAGCACACCAGCAGGGTCAGGGGAGCCCCAGTGCCCTGATGCCTCCCTCCTGTACCAGCAACCCCCGGCCAGTGTGGCCATACACCAGTCCCAACACGTACCACAGGGCAAAGAGCCTGGGGAGCACCATGGTTGGCTTGGTCCCCATCAAAGCCACTTCATTCACCAGGGTTGAGCATGGGATATGCTGCGGCCAGTCTGGGCACAGCCAGCTTCCCGGTGAGTGGCACAGTGGAACCACTATGGATCAGTGCCCAGCCATGCCAGACAGGACTTGGAGCACCCAGCCCTGCCGCAGCACCTTGCATAGAATCATAAATCACAGAATGGTTTGGGTTGGAAAGGTCCTAAAGATTATCTAGCCCTAACCCCCTGCCATGGGCAAGGATACCTTACACTAGACCACGTTACTCTGCTCAACCTGGCCTTGAACACTGCCAGGGCTGGAGCTTTCACCACTTCTCTGGGCACCCTGTGCCAGCACCTCACTACCCTCACAGTAAAGAACTTCTTCCTTATATCCAGCCTGAACCTCCCCTGTTTCAGTTTGAACCCATCACCCCTTATCCTATTGCTGCAGTCCCTGATGAAGGGCTCCTCTCCAGCATCCCCATCCCCACCTGGCAGGGCCGTGCCTCAGTTTCCCCACCTGCGAGGTGGGGTGCAGGCAGGTCCCAGAGCAGGGTGTCTATGGGGCTTCCTGCCAGCACAGCTGCCTGCAGCGGGGACGCCCGCCCGGGCCACATCCGCTCAGCTCCTGCCAAGGCTTCGCAGCGCTGATGGGTTTCCCTCTAGGGACCTGTTTCAATGCAGCTGATAAAACCGGAGTGGGGGCGGGAGGGGAGGGAACGGCAGGAAAAGCTGCAGGAATCCAGGGACAGAGCTGCCAGATCCCTGCGGCTGGAGGAGGGGGGGATACGGCCACGCCGCCGGCACTGCCAGCCATGAGCATGTGTCCCCGGGGGAGATGCTCGGCTGCCCATGGACCATCAGGCTCTGGCAAACCACGCCATATCTGTGCCGGGAGCAGATTTTGGTGCGAGGCCAATCTGACGGCACCCACGGTCGCACTGTTGTGCGTGGCTGAGCCCGGCAGCGGTGCTCCCCATGGGCTGCTTGCTGCTGAACCTTGTGCTCGGCACCGCACTTATCGGGGCCATGCACTCTGCTCAGGCAGGAAACATCGGCCAACCCAGCCGGATTCTGCTACAGCAGCACAGGCACCACCACCATCACCACCACCGCCTCCCCAAAACGGCAGGCACCCGGCAGCGCCGGGCTGCTGGGAGGGGAGGAAAAGTGATTGCATTGGTCATGGGGAGGGAGAATCGAGTAGAAAACCCAAGGGTCGGGTGGAAGCGAGCGTGGCGACGGGGAGCGTGCGGCAATGGTGGAGCTTGTTTGCAGGCAGGGAGGTGATAATGCCGGGAAGCCAACCTCTATCTCTGCCCACCCGCCGCCCTTCCTAGTACGTACCGTGAGGTTTCTCAGCGAGGGGAGATGTTATCTGCCCCCCGCCAGCCCCGGCTTCCCAGAAGAGCCACCCGAGGCTCAGGGCCGGCGCTGGGCATGCGCCCGGCCGTGGCCTGGCCGAACACCCCGGCGGGGCCCCGTCTATCAGCGCCGCCAGCCTGCCCTGACTCAGCACCCTCCCGCTTCCTCCCGGCACCCGGGAATCGCCGCCACAGCCGCCGGCACGCTCCGTGGGATGCTCCCTCAAAGCGCTGAAGGAAGCGGGGCACCCGCACGGATGGCTCCTCAGACATGGGGGGAGATTCCCAAAGCAGGGAATCCGCTTTCCAAGGTTTGGGGCTTGCGCCACGCCGGCTTTGGGAATGGTTTCCAGCATGGGAATAGCTGGGCTTCGCCTGAGCCACGCGGTGGAAGCAGCCAAAGGCCGTCTCCAGTAGCAACGTGCTTTTCCAACTGGATTGACAATGGGAACTACATCCCCAGCACTTCCTCCTGCCAGCACAAACTGCAACGCTGTCCTCCCTGCTCCTACCGGGTGTACTTCCCATGTGGAAACAGCTCTCCGGGATGAATCCATGCTTGAGCTACTGCAGCAGCATCCCGCTCCTCCACCTGGCTCCATGGGACATGCCACAGGGATGTGAGTGCCTGCTGATGGGTGGGTTTCTCCCTGCTCCAGCCCACAATGCCTGAATTCTGCATCCAGTGGCTTGAAAGCAGAATATACATCCACATCCCTTATACCTGATACGCTCCTACAGGAGGCTCCTGGTCATCCTGCAGGCCAGCTCCGAGCCAAGGGGCTTGTCACTGTCGTGGCTGACATCCTTCCCAAGCACTGGAGGAGCCATGCATCACCCAGCCCGCCCCATCTCGGGGCTGTTTTGGGGTGCTGGTCCCGGAGCTCCAGGAAGAGCGGGGCGGGACAGGACAGACCAGCCACGGGCTGACTTTGATGCGGGTTGGGATGGCGAGCCCTGGCTTGTGCAGGATCCAGCCCGGCAGCAGAGCCACCCCTGGAGATTCCATTAAACTCTTGCTCAACCTTGTGAGTGTCTCTGCGGCAGGGTCAGATCCGGCAATGGGTTATTTGTGCCTTTGTGATGCTGGAAGGACGAGGTTCAGAACCAGCAATGCCACGGAGGAGCTGCGGGATCTATCCCACCACCTTCCCAGCACAGCACAGCCATGCAGGGGGCCATGGCTGCATGGGAAGAGCACCCTACAGCACCCAGCACTGCAAACCCAGCCTCAGCCCAAACTCAGTCCACGGCGCTGAGCAAACTCAGCTCCTGCTTGTGCACAGGCAGCCCCGGAGCATGTGCAGCCACGATCCGAAAATGAAAGCAGCCCCAGCCCTAGAGCCGTGGGTCTCCACGCCAGCAGCACAAGTAGGAACTGTGATTGATGGGATTGATGTGCCGGCTCTCCCAGAAACTACTGTTCCCAATCCGGAGGAGAAGCGGCCAGCGGCGTTTTCAGCCCCTTTTTAGAAGCATGAGGCTATTCAGCACTCACCCCCAGCACTATTTTGAGGAGGGAGCAAAGCGAGGGGCTGGGAGACGCCCTCGCCAGCCCCATAGCTCCCTGCTTGCCGAGTGGCAGAAATACAGAGTTCCCACAATCCCAAGAGCAGGAACATTGTTCCTTCCCAGGATGTCCTCCATGAAAAGAGCTATTCTGAGCCGGCAGCAGCCTGTCTTGGCACAGCCCCGCACCCTGCTAGCGAGGCAGCTATAAAAGGCTGAGTTACAATGAACAGCACTTTTCAATGGGAGAGCATCCGGTGCGGGGGACTCAGGGGGATGCAGGTCCTTGGGGGGGGTTCAGAGGGATGCAGGTCCCCAGGGGATCCAGCCTGACACGGATGGGCTCACAAGGGCTGGGTGGTGCAGAGCATCCCCCCAGGAGGGTGCTGGTGGAGCCTTTCTCTGCATCCCGATCCCCTGGGGACCAGGGTGGCAGATGCTGGAGTCTTGGCTGGATGTAACACTGGGATGAGAGTGCACAAAGGGACCATTTGGAGGTGGAGATGCAGCCCCTCAGCAAGGCAGGAGGGGCTGGTGCAGGGGGAGAGGTGGGAAAGGGTTTGGCTGCAGCCTCCTGATGTAGAATGAGGGTGGGGACAGAGGGGTGGGGACAGAGGGGACCATCCCAATTTCACCCTCCTCCAAGCTGGATCACAGCATGACGCAGAGCAGCATGGCCATGGAAAGCCCCATGAAGTCTTATTGCTGCCCTTTAGTCAAGCTGCTTCTTCCTTCCAGGAGCCCATGCACCCAGGGCATGGGGACTCCAAAGAAGGCAAGGAGGGTGACAGGGCCCTCCAAAACAGCACCTCTGTATTTACAGCATCCCTATAAAGCAGCCAAGGCCAGCAGAATCCACAGCAGGAACTGCCCAGCGCTGCCCTGCTCTGCTCTCTAGGAGCAGCTCCTCGTGGTGGTGTGGATTATCTGGGGTCTTATATAGGGCGATGGCACAGCACCATCACTCCCTGCAACCCAGTGGCTGTTTCCACACAACTTGGAGGACCCCTGGGTGTCTCAGGACCTTCCTCCCCTCTCTTCTCTGGCTGAAGCAAACCCACAAATCAAAGAGCAGCAGAGGAGCAGGTTAGAGAGATTCCTCCATCACATCCCCACAGGGGCTGTGTTTTCTGAGGAAATCAGGTTAAAAGCCAGGAGGAGGTTGGGGGGCCTTGATTTGCTCTCCTGCCCCCCCTTTCTTGCAGGCCATGCACACCCCTCTCATTTGACACAACTTGCTCTGTTGAAGGCCAAGGCTGGCCTTAATTTACATCTCAATGGGCTGAGCAGCACCACAGACCTCTGGGGACACAGATGGTTTAGATCCAGACGGATTCCACCCATGTGGCTTCCCCTTATCACTCCACTGGACAGACAGGATGGACACAGTCCATCCCAAACCCATCTTCGGTCAAATGCAAGCTCCACGTTCTCTCGACCTACAGGAGCTCACGAGGATGAGCTGCTGCAGCTGATCCCTAGAAAGCCTCTGCCTGCCCCTGTGCACCCGAGCGCCCATCACCGTGGCGTCTGGCACCCGGCAGCCTGGTTTATACCATCACACTCCCCTACACCTGCTGCCTGGGGGGTAAAGCCCAGCCAGGGGGTGACCTCATGGGGTGACAGGGTTTGTTTTGCTGCACTAAATGAATCTCTGTGGTGCAGGCGTGGGAGAACCCGGGTTCAGGGAGTGCTCCCATGGGAGCGCCTGATAGAGGTCCCTGGGGAGCAGCTCACCCCCGGCTCTCCCTCCCCACTGCAGCAGCATCCCCAGGGCTGGATTGAGCCCTTCCTCCTCGCCAAGCCGCGGCAGGACCACAAACCCCTCCAGCGCTGAGCTCTTGCACTTTCGCTTTGTCTCACCCGCTGCGATTTATCCCCATGCCTTTGTGGTGCCCATCAGCCCCCGGCAGCCCCAGGGGTGTGCGGCAGAGGGGGGGGTGTGCTCTGTGCGAATAGGATGTACGACCCCTCAGAAGCCACCAGCACTTGCACCCCAATCTCTCCAGTGCAATACGTGGTGCTGGCAGACCCGCTGCCCTGCGGGCTCTGGCAAACCCAAAACAGATCTCTCCAGAGGCAATAAATACATTAAGGCAAAGGAGAGAATAAAAGCAGTGTTGGGGGTGGGAAGAACGCTCCGGGACAAGGCTCTCCCGCACCAGAAACGAGTTAAAAAGAAATCCAAGGCATTGATCTAGTCCCAAACAAGTAAAAGTGAAACCTGCCAGCAATGTCATTGGTCTTTAAACTCCAATCGCTGCCAGCAAACAGGGACACGCAAGAGGCGGCAGTGCCAGGTCCCTGGCCGGCCACCTCTTCCTCCAGCTGCTTTTCCTACCTAAGCACAACCCGAAGAGTCCCTGGGCCACCAGCCCACAACTCCAGCACATCTTGAATCAATTTGCAACAACAATATCGGACTCGTCCCCGTTTCCTTGACAGTAAATCCCAGCCCAGGCAGCAATGACCCTGTTATTGCTGCTGTGGGAGCCAGCGTGTCCGGGCTCTCTGCGGGTGACCCCACCAGGGTTTGGCATGAACAGGACCGGGCACGCTGGCAAGTGCAAGGGAGGCCGCGGGGATGTTGTCCTCCGGGGCATCGGTCTCATGCTCTGAGCCCCCCCCCGCCTGCCAAGCCAGGCAGTGCCTGCGAGCCAACAAAGTCTGCAGGGAGCAGAAAGCCAAAGGAACCACTTGGCAGGCTCCGGCTGGCACCTCCGCTTGGTGCTGGCAGCAGGCACGGGGGCAAAGGAGAAAGGGGCAGTGGGGTGAGCAGGCAGGGCATGGCCCCCATGGGCAGGGCAGCACCCTGCATGGGTGGCCAGGGGTGGTGGGCATCACCCCGCATGGTCCTGTGTCCTGCAAGAGGGGCCACCTCCACGGTGGGGGCTGCAAGGGGCAGATGGAGGAGAGGGAGAAGGCTGGATGACGGGTCCCCAGAATAAAGGTGCTGGAAATGAGGGACCTGGGGAAGAGAGTGATCCCAGAAGATGGGGTATTGTGGGGTAAAGGGGTGCCAAGAAGACGGGGATCCTCAGAACTGGGAGCACTCACAGGGGAACAGGGCCCTTGGGATCGGGAGCGCCTATGAGGGAAAGGGTTACGGGGAGGACAGGGTAGAAGGAGGGGACCAGAGGAAGGGGACCCCAAAGGAACGGGGAGCGGAGAAGCTGAAGGGGGCAGACCCGAGGGGTCGGGGCTGGCAGCGGAGAGGGAGGTCCGCACCCGGCGCAGCTCCGGGCCAGCTCCCCCCTCCCGGCCGCCGCCACCACTTTCACTTTGCAGCGGCTGCTGCCCGGGGCCGCCCGTCCCGTCCCGTCCCGTCCCGGTACAGCCCAGCCCAGCCCGGCCCGGCCCGGTCCCGCTGCGCGCCCGCGGTTACCTGCAGGAGAAGGCGTCCGGCTGCCGGTCACCCATGGTGGAGCGCGGCGGAGCGCCCGGGGCCGGGACCGGGCGGACGGGACGGGACGGGACGGACAGCTCGGGACGGGACGGGACGGCTCAGGCAGGAAACCGGGGCAGGCGGCTCCGCATTTCCGCCGAGCGGAGCCGCGGGACGCGGACCCCGGCCCCGGGCGCGTTATGTAAAGCGGAGCGGTGCGGCCGAGGGCGGGGGCTGTGCGGGGCGGAGCGGAGGGGCCGCGCTGTCCGTCCGGGTCCCGCCGGCAGCTCCGCGGGTGCGCACCGCTCCGCCCCTCCCAGCCGGTGCCTTTAACTTATCGCATCCGCGCCCGCGGAGGCAGCGGCATAAACAGCCCGGCTGCGCTCGTGGAGGCTGCTTTGGGTTTGGTTCGTTGGATTTGGGGATTTTTTTTAAGTTTTTATTACTTTGTATTACTTTTTTTCCCCCTCTCTGGGTTTGCGGGTGTCCGGTCATCACAGTCCCGTCCGCCCGGCCCCAGCCTGATCCCGGGGGTCGTTTGGGAGCCTGGGAGGGATGTGCAGGAAAACACCCCCTTTCCTGTTCCTGCCCGGCCGTGCCCTCCCACGGCTCCACAGGCTGGGTCCCAAGGGACCTCTGCGGTGGCAGCAGTGGGCGAGACGCTGCCTCAAACCCCATTTCTCATCGTTTTCCCCTGCCTTTCAGCTGAGGAAATAATCTTGCAGTGAAAGGCACCGCGGGGCTCTGCCTGCACCCCGTGGGAGCGGGTCAGGCCACAGCGCCTGTGGCTGTCCTGCGCTGTGGGCGAGGGACAGAGCAGTCTCAGTGTCCCTCCGGCCCCAAGCAGGGCTGGGAACTGTGTGTGTGTGTGTGTGTGTGTGTGTGTACACAAACCAGGCCGGGTCATCCTGCTGCTGTCATCCCACCCCATGGGAGCAGAGCTGCAGCAGCTCATCCTGCGAGCCATGGGAAATGAGGGGATAATAAACTTGCACCGCACCTTTTCCCAGGAAAGGGCTGGCTTCTGCTCTGTGCCATCATATCTGGCCCACTGACATCTCCCATCCGTGTCACCGGTTGTCCCAAGCGCTCCTCTGGGTCCTCATCCTCAGCAGCGCTAGGGATGGAGGGCTCTCCTTGCCTTCAGACCCCATGGAAAGTACCCTGAGCAGCCCTGCCCAGGGCTGGCGCTCACCCAGAACACACCAAGCTGGAAAACCCCAGGGAAGTGGCAGCTGGGATTTTACAGCCACCACAGATCTATCTGTGGGTGTTGGGAGGGTGGAAGCTGCAGGATTTTGCCCTTGGAGAGCGGGCTGAGGCACTCTGAGCTGTGTGTGAATGGGCACCTGTGTGCCACCACCAACGGGCTTTGATGCTTTAAAATACACTCCAGTTGCTCACCCTAGCCATTCCCAATCCATCTCCTTCCAATGAGAAGACTGAAAGAGGACCTGGCACTGTTCCCTGGGACTGGACAAGCCCAGACCATGGCCCTGGGCTGCTGCTGGGGTGGACACAACCCCACTGCCCTCCTCCAGCTGCACAAACCCCTTGGACCAGATCTGAGCTTCTCTGCACGGCTATAACCTCACACACTCCTTGGGCATCCAGGCGGCTCTGCATCCAACCAGCCCTCCCCAAACCACACAGGGAAGTAGCTGAGAGTGGCTGAAATGATAAATTTTTACCTTAAAAGCCGGTTTTGAATTCCTCCTGCTGTTCCTTTATGCATAATTGCACCTTCTGGCTCTTTTCCTGAGCACGGATGAGCGGTCGGGGGAGCCCGGTGCCTGCCCTCCTTCCCATGGGGCGGCCGTCCCAGCCCGCAGCTATCGCACACTCGATGAGCTTCATCTATTTCAAAAGCGCCCTCTCAGCGTCCTCAGTCCCCGTGGCCTGAGATTTCTCTTCTGTTTTGCTTCCTGTATGGATTTTCTACAGTCCCCAACTGCTAATTCACTGCCACCGACTTCTGCTTTTGCTGTTTGTTTATGCAGAGCTGCGCAGATGCCTTTGTACACACACACACACACACACGCTGCTGCTTCCCTTCCGCTCGGCACCGGGCTCCGCTTTAACCACTGCTGCTTGCTTCTCCTCTAAAAGCTTCAACCAGCTTCCAAACATCCTTCCCACTTCCCCCTTCAGCTCCAGCCCTCCGGCCGGCTTCGGTCTCAGGGCGCGTGGAGTGCTTTGGAAGAGGCGCATCTGCATTTCCCAGGGTGGGATGTGATTGGATGCAGGTGATATCTGCCACCCCCCAGTGAGATGTTACCCCACCGTGTCTGGGGGTGACATTTAGAAGTGCTTGGTTATGGGAATCTGAATTTGTGAACGGGCATCTGTGTGACACCACCAATGGGCTCCATCTTCCCTGATGGTTTAAAATACACCCCAGTCATTTACCCCATCCATTCCCAATCCATCTCCTTCCAACGAGGGAAAGACTGAAACAGAACAACAGAACCCGACCCCCCTCCCCCCCCCCCCCCCCCCCCGGTGCTGTGCCCCTGGATTGGCCGTGCAAAGACCCAAAATCTCAGCCTGCATCCATTCAGACCGCTGGGAATTGGTGGGTTGGGTGGTGATGGATTGGGTGGTGATGGATTGGGTCCTGATGAACAGGGTGCTGATGGAGGGGGTGCTCCCGGGGCTGGCTGCTCCCCGCAGCCCCGTCGAGCCTGGAGCTGCCGCCGCCGCTGAGCTCCATCCGCCCTCTCCCGGGCACCGGCCGCACTGCAGCCGCCCCGGTGGTGGTGGTGGGGTCCCCGGCCCCCGGGCTGCCAGGGTGGAGATCCCCGTGGGTGACTCTCTTTGGGGTCCCTGAGGACCATTCACTGGTGCTCATGATGGAGACCCGCACCTCTTCTCCATCCCCGGCTGGGGACGAGGCATGGAGCAGCCTCTGGGTATCCCCACAGCACCCCCAGATTCCCAGGAAGCCGCTGCTGAGCCAGCACCCGCTGTGACTCAGAGCTCCCACTCACCTCATCCAGCACCCGCTGCTGCATAACCGCACCAAGTCACCAGTCATGGGACAACAGGAACCAGAGGCCAAGGGCAGCCCACAGCCAAAGTGAAAGCCCCTCACCTCCTTTCAGACCCTTTTCTTCTCCTTTTATCTCTATTGTTGGTCAAGCTCAGCCTTGGAATTCATTTCCCCATCTTTCCCATCAAGACTTGACATGGGAAACTGAGGCACAAGCTTTGGGCTCCCTGTTGGAGGGATGCTGGAGGAACAACGAAGGGAAAATATGATGGAGCCGCTCAGAAAGGGAAGTGCTGGAGCCTGTGCAGTGACACGAGACCATCCCAAAAGGAGACCCAAAGGGAAGCAAAAACTCACAGAGTAGTTTTGCTCGTGGTTTTTAAGGAATAGGGGGACTTTTCAAAGGGCTTCCTGGGAAGTGGCTGCAGTGGAAGAACAACCTCTGCTAACATGGCCAACGGGGCTGCAGGAAGCAGCCAGGGTTTCAGAGTCCCAGAGCCAGGAGCGTGGAGCCCTTTAATCAGTTACCCCAGCAGGTATAATAGCGATACTGCTTCTCCCATGGTCCTTCCATCTCCTAATCTTGCCATGTGAAAAGGCACGTCTCTGCAAGGCAGGGAGATAAGTGCTGCACAGAGAGCTGAGGGTTTCCACCAGTGGCCTTGAACAGAGCCTGCTCCACTCAGGAAGGAAGATAAAGCCCAGATGGTTTAAATCCCTCTTTATAGTACGAAAGAGAAAGGTGGTGGGAAAAGTCCTCAGTGATCTGAAAACCACCGCCATGAGCAGAAGATTGCAAAGCCCTGAGCAGCTGTGCAGGGCAATGAGGAGGCGAGGTGAGGACCACAACCTGCAGCAGTGGTGATTGTGGCAGAGGTTACTGATGTCAGGATATCTTAGTTGGGGCCCTGCAAAATGAGCATCAAAACCTTGTTTGCTAAAACATACACGCAACCAAGCAGGGCAACAAAGAGACTGGGGGAAAGGGACAATGATAAGGAGAGCAAATCGTTGCTGCTTGTGTTTATTGGGATACGGTGTGGACAGTGGTGCTGCTGAGATGGTCCTCAAGCTGGTGATGCTTTCAGCAGGAAAGCACAACCAAGAGCAGAAGTCAGCCTGAAGGCTACTCCCAGCTGAAAGTTTTATGATTGCCCTGGGATGTGGGTACCAGTCTCAGTGGTCAGCATCATCCAGTCATTGCCAGAGAGGGCAAGCGCTGGCCACAGGGCCAAAAGCACAGCAGCAGCTCTAGTGCCATGTGGCATCATCCATGGTCAGGAAGGAGCAAGCGGGATGTGATCTCTGCCCACGTGGCTGCGCAATGCTTGGCAGTTCCAGCTTTTCACTGGGTGCTTCTTAGCTCCTTGGGCCAGTTGTCACCTTCCCCCTGATGCCCACCCAGCTCCTCCTTTCCCTTTGCACTAGGGCAGAGACCCCCTCCCTGTCTGCTTTGGCCCAGCCTCTCCCAAAGACTTGGCTGAACGCTCAGGTGAGCAGCTGGTCCCTTGCAGCATCTCCCACCTATGCAGGACCAACCTCTGCCTTGTTGCCTTCATCTTCAGCCCTCTCATCCATCAACCTCTTCCTGTTCCCTGCTGGATGCTTCTGGGCACTACTTCTGGGACTCTGCCCTAAAAACCTGACTCAAAAATTCAGTGTTTTACAGCCGCTTTCAGCACCAAGCTTCCAGGCTTCCCACCCATGAGTACATCCACGTGTACATCCATGCGTATTCTAAGCCTACATCCACACGTGCACTCACGTGTACATCCATGCCTACATCCATCCATAGATCTGTGTCTATATTCATGCCTACATCCACACATACACCCACGGACCCGCATACCCCCTGCATCCCCACATCCGTGCTCCCATCTCCCTCAGGCGCTGCCCAGAGCTGTGGCAAGGAGCCAGGACCCCTCAGCACCGGGGCCGAGCTCCGGAGCGGTTTCTCCTCCGGGAGAAGGGCCCCCCTCTCTGTGTCCCGTGGGGCCGCCCCGAGCCGCGGTGAGGGGCGGTGGCGGCTGCGGCGGAGGCGGGAGGAAGCAGCGCTCCGCCCGCGGGGCCGCCCCGAGCCGAGCCGAGGTGGCGGGGAACCGAGGACAAAGGTGGCCGTGCGGGACCGGGTGCAGGGCCGGGAGCGGGACCGGGAGCGGGGCCGGGAGCCGGGGGTGCCCCGAGGCGGAGCGGGGCTGAGCGGGCCGCAGCCGGAGGGGTGGGGGGCGGGTCCTCCTCTCCCAAACATCCTCAAGACTTTGGGGACCCCAAAAAGATCCTCAAGGTACCGGGGAGAAAGGGTCCCCACTGCACCCCGGAGCTGGGAGCCCAGAGAGCCCCCGTCTCATCTCCTTGATCCCTGCTACGTGGCTTAATGGGAAAACAATAATCCTGGTGCCCATCTGCTTTGTGCAGGCTGGGGAACGGTGAAACCCGCCGGAGCCATCAGCCGGAGCGGGAACACCAGGGTGCCGGACCTCACAGTCTCCTTACACCATCTGATCCCGGATCCAGCGCTCCCACAGCCACCCTCACATCAGCGATGCTGGCGGATGCCGGAGACCGGAGCTAGAAGCTGAATCCAGGTAGGCAAAAAGCCGGGGACAGCGAGGCCACGGCTGGTTAGGGGACAAGGGGAGGGTGGCTTTGCCCCGGCGACCGGGCTCATGGCCACGGCTCTCTGGAGCCGCAGCCGGATCTGCGGCGCAGGTCATAATTCCTCCCTGCGTGAAGCAGGGAGGAGCGAAGCAGCACGGGGCAAACACGGTGCTGGCGGTCAGGTCACCTGCATCGGGTGACGTGGGGCACTGTGAGCCCTGCCTGGGGCTCCTCCATGGGAAAACACTGAGTTGGGGTTAAATCCCCTCTCCACGGAGCCCTGAGCCACCCACCGGCCACAGCACCTTAGCTGGAAGCGGAGTTATCCCGGCTATCACGGGGCTGTTTATTCACCAGCTCCATTTCCTGGGCACAAAGGCTGCTGCTGCCAAGAACAAGCCGATGGGTTATTACAGTGCAATTAAAGCACACTCATCCTCAGCATCCATCCTCTATCCCTGCAGGACACGGAGCCATGAAGCTGAACGAGCGGAGCCTGGCTTTCTATGCTACCTGTGACTCCCCGGCTGACAACGCCGGCTTCCTCTACAAGCGCGGCGAGCGGCACACAGCGTACCACCGCCGCTGGTTCGTGCTGAAGGGCAACATGCTCTTCTACTTCGAGGAGCGGGAGAGCCGGGAGCCGGTGGGTGTCATCGTGCTGGAGGGCTGCACCGTGGAGCTCTGTGATTCGGCCGAGGAATTCACCTTCGCCATCCGCTTTGGGGGCACCAAGTCCCGCACCTACGTGCTGGCGGCAGAGAGCCAGGCTGCCATGGAGTCGTGGGTGAAGTCGCTCTCACGAGCCAGCTTTGACTACATGCGCCTGGTGGTGCGGGAGCTGGAGAAGCAGCTGGAGGAGATGAGCTATGGGATGGCCCGTGGGTGTGCTGGGGGATGCCGGGGGTCTCCCAGTTCCTGGAAGCCGAAGCCCTCGGAGCTGGAGCGGTCCCTGGAGCGGCTGCCGGCTCTGCCCGCTGTCTTGCCGAAGGAGAATGGCTGTGCTGTGTGGAACAACGCATCGGGAGCGAACCGGCCACCCGAAGCTTCAGGTTGTGGTGATGCTGCTGGTGATGGGAACCCGCGGCCACCGCCGCTGCCACCACGCAGGCGGGCATCGAGCACCGAGGTGGGCAGTGCAGTGGTGGAGAGCCCGTCCTCCTTCTGCCGGCTCCATGAGTGGTACGGCCGGGAGGTGGCCCAGCTGCGGCGGGACTGGCTGGAGAGGCAGCGTGGTCCCCAGCCCTGAGTGATGGCTGAGCCCTGGGGACCCACCAGGACCCGTAACAAGGAGATGATCATTGTTGGTGCTGCATCAGTCCCATCGTCACCCTGGGATGTGCAGCCCTGTCTATGGTGGTGATGGACACTGCTGATGGTGCCACCAAGGGCTCAGCGGTGAGGGACACCGGTGCTGCTCTGTGATGGTGAAACACCAGTCCA